AGGGAGGGAGGGAGGGAGGGAGGGAGGGAGGGAGGAAGGAAGGAAGGAAGGAAGGAAGGAAGGAAGGAAGGAAGGAAGGAAGGAAGGAAGGAAGGAAAAACAATTTAATATTCCTTTCCTTTACCCATTTAGATCTTTGTCTAACCTTCAACCAGAAGCTGCCTCCCATTATCCAGTGCCCTCCTCTCTGTTCAAAGGGGTTCAAGGAGCTCTTATGACAACAAGGAGTGACACTCCGGCATGTGCACAGTGGGGCATATATGAAAGAAATATTTCTCCCCATTCTCTCATTTTCTCCTGGAAACAGTTGAAATAAAATATTGCTGGCTTGCAGAGGGCCTGTGGACCTACAGAACTTGCAAAATCTCAGTTTCATTTCCCATTCTCATTTGCTGGTTGGGATTTGAGGCTGCACACAGTTTTCAGTCCATGGACAGTTCACAACTAATTCATCAAATGTACAGTGCTAGTTTTATTTTTTTTGTTCCACTTCCTTCTGAGCCAAGAGAGATTCCTCTTTCAAGAAGACATTCATCCCACATACCAGATGGCCTTTTTTTCCCTACCCTACTAGCTTTGCACACCCATGCATTTAAGCCGTGTCCCCCACACACCCCAAATCAACACACCTTGGTTTGTGCATCGTTGAGTGTCTTGGCAGGCAACCGGCGAAGGCACGAGACAATTTCAGAACTGCTGGTTGATGGGCAGCCCACTTCGCGAGCCAAAATGGCGGCTTGGGATTGTGCTTTCTCTTTGCTGAGTGTTATCGCTGGAGAGAAAGCAGAACCTCCCTAAGGGAGAAAAAAAAAGGGAGAATTAAGTTGGCGGTGGATCTGCGTATATCTTGAAGGCATGCTTTTAAGGGACATAAAAAAACCTAGAAAGGAAGGAAGAAAACACTCAAAGGAGTCCAGCAATTTTATTTTATATCATTCACAGGCCAGAAGCATTAAAATATAAAGATAAAGGTAAAGGTTCCCCTCGCACATACGTGCTAGTCGTTTCTGGCTCTGGGGGGGCGGTGCTCCTCTCCTTTACAAAGCTGAAGAGCCAGCACTGTCCAAATACGTTTCCGTGGTCATGTGGCTAGCATGACTAAACACCGAAGGCGCATGGAATGCTGTTACCTTCCCACCAAAGTGGTCCCTATTTTTCTTTTTCTTTTTTGAAAATTTTATTGATTTTTAAAAACAAACATAAACAAACAAAACATAGAACATAAAAACATAAAACATCTTTTTTGAAAGCAGCCTGATCCCGGGTTACATCTCTTCGTGCAGACACAAATTCAAATTCATGCTCATTTTTATATTCCATTCCATATCTTATTACCATTCTACGTTTTCTATATAACTTCTCTCCTCTTTCAACTTTCTTAATGTTATTTTATTTATTTCATCTCAATTCAAATCATCATACTTATATTCTTTGTCTGTCCTGTTTCAGCTGTCTATTATCTTTTCTCATTAAGCAAAATTTCTCCTGTGATCACTGATTGGAGTATGATGCCTTTATATCTTTCCCCTAAAATTATTACACTTAATATAATACATAACTTCCATTCGGATTCTGCTTGGTTCATTCTAAAACTATACAATGTATTTTTTAAAAAGAAAAAATTATAAATATATATCATAATTAAAACAACAATCCATACCAATTCAATTCTATCATTAATATTAATATTCATTTAAATCTTGAACATTTTACACATTACTTTTCAAATAAGTATCATACTTCTATGGAAACACTTATAAACTTTCCATAATTACTTCCCTCCCACTTTGCTTGTATTTTATAAAACATTGAGTAGTTAAAATGTTCCCATTCCTTCCTAGTTCAATTCTCTCATTTATTTCATTTCATTTATTTTGTTCACAAAAGTTTCACTAAATTACACTAATTATTTTATTCCACTTTTTAATCATATGTTGTTTCCAATTTTCTAATATTATTTCTATTACAAACATAACAATACAATCTTATGTACCTTTACAGAATCCCCTTTTCAGTTAAATTTTCACCCATTATCTCTGAATAAATCCTGTTTCTTTACATCTTGCTCCAGACCTTTGTAACTTCTCTTCCCTTCCTTCTTCCCTTTCTTCTCTCTCCCCTTTTTACCCCCGTCTCTCCACCTCCATTTCCCTCTTCTGTATTCCCCTTTTCTCTTGCTTTCCAACATTATATCCCCTTTTCACATTATTTTTCCCTTTTTTGGCTGTTTTTTTAGGTCTTAGATTCTCCATTCTCTTTCCCCACTTTCCCTTTTCTTCCCCAGATAGAATTATTTGTTCATTAAAAATGGCTTCTTCTTTGTCCCAATCTTCTTGTTGCGCAGTCTTTTCTTGTTGTTTCTTGTAAACACCAATTGCCATTTCTAAGAATTGAAAAATGGAACCAAAGGAGCCCTTCCCTTCTTGTTCCTCTTCTTTATATTTTTTAAATTCAATTTTCAGTTCATTCAGTTCATCCAGAGGTAATGCCATTGTAGAGTTTTGTTTTCTTTTAAACAACCACTCAATTGTTTTTAGTCGTTCAAATATGATTTCCAAAAGTCCCAAAGTCACCAAACAATCCGAATATACACAAGCTGTTTCTTTTAACACTTTCTCTTCTTGGGGTTACTATTTAGTTGCAAAGTTCCAGTTAAAATGTATCCTTTAGAAGTCTTGTTAAGATTTAACTTTAAATTCTTTTGAATTCCAAGCAGTCTCCTCCTTCCAAGTCCTGCCCTTATTCTTTTCCTCTCCCTTCCAACTTATAGCAAAAAAAGGATTTTTTAGTGTTCAGAAATCTTTATTGCCCCTTTGGCATTTAATTATATTTCCAGTTTAATTACCTGTTGATGCCAAAGCAGATTTTTCTGATTTCTTTATTCAGATCTTCTCATTGTCAGCATGAGGAAGAAGAGTGAAGAAAAAAAAGCTTTCCCTTTTCCCTTTCGTTTGCTGCTTCCGACTCTTCTTTGGGAGCGATGTATCTTTTGCAAAATTTAAATTCCAGGGTACCTTAGTTGTTACTTTTTGTCCTGGTAAGCCAAAACTTTCACTTCTTAACTTCCTCCTGAACTTTCTTTTCTGGCTGAGTGCTTCTTTGAGGCAGCCATTTCTGACCGCCACTCTTACCTCCTTCGGGAAAGGGAGTTTAGCCAGCTGAGGAGGAGAGGTGCAGTTCCCCTTGACCCTGCTGGGTCTCTCTGTCTTCACCACCTCTACGGGGTGGCTTAGCCCTGAAGCCTACTGACTCGGGGTGCTCCAGCGGTGAGCCCAGGCAGAAACCGCACACAATCACAGATTCCTGCCTGCCGCTGAAGCCCTGCAAACCGGAAGACTCCCCAAAGGGGTCCCTATTTTTCAATTTGCATCTTTACGTGTTTTTGGACTGCTAGGTTGGCAGAAGCTGGGACAAGTAACGGGAGCTCAGTCCGTTATGCGGTGCTAGGGATTCGAACCGCTGAACTGCCGATCTTCTGATCACAAAGCTTAACATCTTAACCACTGACCCACTGTGTCCTCTTAAGTCAGTCTAATGTGCTTGTAACAAACAAAGAAGTCCAATAAGGTCAGCATCTTAGCCACAAAGCCACTGCATCCCTGTTATTAAAATATAGACATATATGAAAAATGTATTATTTTAGCAATTTCCATGAAGGGAATAACATGCCCTCATATTGATCGAAGAGAAGCCAGTTGGGAAGGTCATAAATGATGATCACATGACCCCAGAACACTGTAACTATCATAAATATATACTGGCTTCCAAGCACCTAAATTCTAATCACATGATGGCAGGGATGTTACAATGGTCATAAATGCAAGGATTGGCCATAAGTCACTTTTTTTCAATGTCATCATAACTTTGAACATTGGCTAAATGAATAAGCAGAGGACTACCTGGAAACTGAAAGCATGGAATATCAAAAGTCTATAATTCTGTGCTTCGAATGCATTAGGGTAGCATTTTTTAAAAAAATTATCAATAAAGCCAACTGAGTCAACAATTGGAAAGAGCCACTCATTTCATCTGGATTATTCCTGAGTTTTTTATCGTGTTTTGATTGCACTGTCCACAATGATGGTATTTGCAAAGCAATAGAAGCCTGCTTCTTCTTTTCTTTGTATTCTTATCTTACTTCCCCATTTCTGCAGCTAGAATTGTCTAAATTTTCTAAGAAGAATATATTCGCCTTAGATAAAGATTGTGTAATTCATTTCAAAGGAACTTCAAAGGTTGGCATGAAAGAAAAGGAAATATAGTCAGATATATGAGCTTTAGAACAGCAAAGCTAAATTAGCAAAAAAATATAGTTTCAGAAATTGTGAAATCAAAGTTTGGAACAACGGCTTACACAAAAGGTTACTGAAAGCTTTTTTTTTTTAAATCACTCCCTCTCAATCCATCCCACTCCCACCAACGCTTAATCCATGCATGGAAATATGACTGACTACATGGAAAATATTTTTTTTTTCCTTGACACCTGGCGTAAATGTTTATTGTGCATAACACAGCTACTGCCGCATGCAATCTGGAGACATAAAAGTATGTTCAGAATCTGCTTGGCACGTGATTTGCTCAACAACTCTTACACTGAACAAATGCAGCTCGGGAGGAAATATTTTGAGTAGCCAAAATTTGGAGCTGATTGCTGAGTAGGCATCAACACTTAATACAGGTTGGTTCAACAGTTCATTTAGTGACCATTTTGAAGTTACAACAGCACTGAAAAAAGTGACTTATGACCCTTTTCCCCGCTTATTGTCAAGGTTCCAAATAATAGCCCGATAGAAAGCAGAACTCCAAGGCAGGCGGATTCTTCAAAGAACAGTTTTATTGGAGATATCGTATTGGCCCAAACTGGTGAAAACCAACTCTGAAAGTTCCTGCGGTTTTCACCTGATTAAAAAGTGAAAGTTCCCCCTTCCCCCAAATAATCAGTCACATAGTCCAATCAAGGTGCTGGCTGGTTGCTTGGTAACCGGACTCCTCCTCTCCCCAGCCACCTGTTGGAATATCCTTGGTTCCCACGGGAAACTATTTTGTTTTGGCTACAAAACTCCCATCTAACTATGTTCCCTTTCCCTATCCTTTCTTCGCATTGTGGCAACCCTGAAGCCTCCAAAATGGCCCCAGCCAGGTTTGCTTCAGAGTTGACACTTACGACCATTGCACAGCCCCGTGGTCTTGTGAACAAAATTCAGACACTTGGAAACTGACTCATATTTACGACTGTTTAAATGTCCTGGGGTGTTGTGGTTAGTTGGCAGCAGGTGTGGATGGCTGAGGAGAGCGAGGACTCAGATGGGGGGCCAGGACCATTAGGGAGTGGACTTCTGCCTTCAGAGACTATGGGGATTGGCAGCAATGATGAGGAGGTTCCTGAGGAGCCTGTGCCGAGGATTGCTCATAGAAAAAAGCAGTTACAACACCAAAGGCGATTCGGGAGTAAGGCTGTGAGGTAATGGCCCCTCCTTCAAGAAGGTAAAAGCCAGCTGTGAAACTAACCTTCTTTGCAGAAGGCAAAGACGTTTTGAAACTCCAGCCTCATGGATATTCCAGTATCCTGAGTTTGTATTGGAAGATTTTTATTTTGCAAATTATTTCTTGTCTGTTATCTTTTGGCAAGTCTCACACAGTTTGGCAAGACTTGTGCTTATCACAGCTAATTATTTTGTAAAAGCATTACAAGTTTTGTGTTCCTTTTGGATTGTGTCTGATTTATTGAAAAAGGGTGTGGGTCAGAACACGGGGTTGTTTGGTCACATTTTGTGACAAGCAAAGGCAAGGGGGA